TATAAGAAATTTATACTTGCTTTTCACGTGCTTGTTTTAAGTAAACTTGAAAACTTAAGCATCGTGAGCACAGTCTAGTAGTTAACTTATTAGCGCAAACAAGAGACCAATATTAGGTTAGCAAACTAACCTAAGCTCTAGTCAAAACATTCAATTAGCATGTGATTGTGTTAACGTGTCATGGAACAAATCAATTAATATAGATAATTATAATAAAAAGATAAATCTCGAAGTAAGCTAAGCTACATTGCTAAGAATTCTCTTGAAAATGGAGTGTTATCTTCTTGATTTTAATATATAATGGCAATTATGTTTGCAAAATAAAGTTATTTAGATAATATTTGTACGATAGTCATAAAGAAATATGTGTAGTAAATTAATTAAATCGTATATTTTTGTATAAATTATTAATGATAAACATTTAATATTCCGGTTGAAAAGTTATTTACACACAATAAAGATATTGTTTTATATTTCGATAAATAATCCCACAGACAATTATGATTAATCAATGAATAATATGACTGAATTTCAATTTAATAATTGTAAATAATACTTTCTCTTAATATATAAATTAGAAAACAAAAACTCATAAATTTGTGATATATTACTCTGCGGGAAATAATATATAGGGATAACTTAAAATGAAATGTTGAATATCAAATAAAGATAATACAAGATAATAATTTAAAATTCTATTGACATAAAGATAATATTAATTTCAGGTAATAGAATGTAGTAAACTAATCATATTACTATAATTCTAATCATAAATATTCTTATACAGATTTAATACTTATTGCAATGCAGTAAATTTATTTAGTGTTATATTTCATGTTCTAAAACCAACAACTTTGTGCATAACTGGTTAAAATATAACCTATTTATAATCTCTATATAATTTATTATGAGATAATATACACATTTCAAAAAACAAAATTTTACTAGTCTTAGCGTTGTCATTCATATAAAAATGACACTGTAAACGCAAAGATGTATTAAATAATAATAATAATAAAAAATTTTGCAAATAAACATATTGTCTAATACTACATGAGAAAGTTAAATAATCAGTGATTCTATAAAAATGAATAAATATAGTGATAGAGTTATATTGAATGCTTTATCTATTCTAATATTGTATGAATTTTACTGAATATCAAGTTTAAAACTAATTAAACATTTAAATTTACTTACAATCTTCATTTATGATTTAAGTATCTATAGCAACGATGAACTGAGCGTGCATTTGCCCGCATTATATGGCAACATACTTTATAATCATAATGCATTCAAATATGTCGTTATCAAATAAAGAGAGTGGTGGAGTGCATTTTGTGTAATGGTTTATAAACAAATGTAATGGTATTTGTGACTAATGTTTTAAAATTTACTACAAATAATGTCAAGCAAAAACTAGATGTTAAGTACTGATCTATAGCAACCGACCGATATATGCGCAGCGATGAATATTGTTGATAATTTATTAGTAATGTTAAACAAACATGTCAAACATTGGTGAGCGGCATTGCGGTCATGACATAGATAATCTAAGAAACTAAGATAATCCATAGTTACGAGTTTTCGACAATTAATCACAACAAATTCATAATTGATGCTATTATGTATGTAAATGCATAATGTATGTTAAAATGTTATAGCTCATCTGCTAATAAATAAATGTGTTTGACAATGTTGCACGCGATATGGTGTTACATTTACGGTAGACATGGTACGACAGTGAATTCATCTGTTGCAATTAGACAACGACCAGATCAGTCTGACGTAGAGAATCGTGCACCAGCCGGAAATGAATCAGCCATAGTAGTTTGGAAGTCAACGTCTAATCAAATTGAACAAACATGGTCGACAAAGATTTCGAATTATGCGGCAAGCTGGTTTAAGTCTACATTACCGGAGCCAAACGTACTAATGTTGGGCGTAATTGACTCACACCTTGTTGTATATAGGGAGCTAGTGGAGAGATGTGGTGTAGATAACTATATTACCACATTCAGCGATCGCTATAGTCGTCGTATAACCGGACTAGCCGTAGAGCCTGTATCACCAAATCTGCCTTCCCCCAAATCAATTATACTGGATGGTGGTGTTGGTGAAACTTACGTTACAATTATGTTAGAACCGCCGGGTGACATCGAATGGGGTTGCACGATTGCAGTGTGTGTCAACAAATAATTGTTATTGTTAATATTATTATTTCTAAATTCTTATATCTTTTTTAACCGTAACTGTTTTATATAATATTTCATTTTTTAAAACATTATTATTTGTAACCCAAAGGAAATAAATATTTAATAATGTGATATACATGTGTATATTACTAACTTTGTGTAACTTATGTACAAAATTATGTAACATTTAATTTTTAAACATAATCCATTCATGATAAATCTGATTAATATGATCAATCAATATTCCCAAATTCAACCCACACCGAACCTATGGGATTTAACATAAGATACCGTGTTAATCGTATGGCTATATTTTAGTATGGGAAAACTTATAGGTTTAACATGGGGATTAAGATTATCGCTATTACATAGTGTTAACATGTGTAATTCTAATCTTAATGAATGTTAATACAAGTTATTGACAATCACTTATTGTACATTCTAAATTAATTTTTAACTACAATTTTATTAAGTATAATGTGGTTTATAACTTAGAATTTATAAGATTGTTTGTTTCATTTCAACTAAATTTATTTATCATTTAATCAAAGCCTAGCGCGAAACCACACATGAATGCATTACTCATAGATAAACATATCCCACGTACTTTATCAAACAATATTGGGCTTAAATGATAGGCTTGTTGTGTGAAATGCATGCATAAATTTGTTTAAACAGTACTGATAATACTCTATAAACAATACACAGGACATGCAACAGACAGTAAATATAACCGGGCGACAAATGTTGAGTTTATGCAGTAAACAGGTGTGGGTGTGATGATAACGGCAAATTAAGATTATTGTGATTGGTTGTGTGAATAGTTTAAAATGTATTGATATTCACATATTGGTTTATTATTGGATTGTACGCGAAATGGGCAGGGTAATGATAATATACTTTTATTGATTTCATACATTTTACTACATAATTTCTTATGATATCAGAATAAACATAATAAAACCAGAAAATAACAATGAATATAAATTATAAATGTAAAGTAACAATCAGATAAATTCAATAAAATGTTTTTACATATTTAGCGTAAATATGACAAATTTCTAATGAATTATGATAGATTAATTATCACTTTACAAGACCCATAAAATATCTACTTTTGTAAATTATATAGACTATATAATATTATACATTTTTATTATATTATTATTTTCAACATTCCAAAGGCAGCATTGTATAATTATAACTACTCTTACTAAATTGTTAATATACTTTGTAAAATTTCTGATCATTAACTAATACTAAACTTCTATTAAATTAAATTAACCCACGATATTTTGTGTACAATATTAATTATTATTAATTAGGTTCCCATTTTAAATCTTTATAATAAGAGTATTTCTATACGAACTTTGATGTTAAAAAAGCAACAATGGGGGCTGCTCAAACAGTGGCGGCTGTAAATAACACCGTTAATAACAATCCGGGCCTTTTAGAGAGATGGGCCGGGGCCACTGTGTCCATGGTACAAGCGTTGCACAAGTGGTGGATCGGCCCTATTCAACAATGCAAATTGATCAAGGGTCAAGTTTGCGAGGGCGCCGATGTGTACCGGGAGGAAATTGTTCGCAAAGACAAATGCGATTACATTATCAATCACTCCGTGTCTAATGGTATGGTAATCGTCGGACTGGCGGTGACACCGGTGTCCGAAAGCATAGCCTCGCCCAACGCTAATTTAATCAATGGTGGGTTGGGCTCAACGAACGTGATCATTCAGCTAGTGTCGCCAGGTGACATGGAGTGGGGCTGCGTTTTCCGTGTGGCCACCGAACGCACTGTCAAAACGGTGGCTAAGGTTAAAATTTATGAATTTAATAGCACTTAATTATACTAATTCATATATAACGTATATAGATATATTTTTGAACATTCATCAAGATTTATTATATAATTATTTAATTTTAGTAATATGAGCAATCCTTTGCTATCATTTAATAAAATGGTTGTGTTAAAATTTAATTTTTTTTATGTGAATGATGTATTTACGTTAATTTAATAAAATACAAATACGTTATGAATGGCTAACTATGATTTATATATATTGAGGAAAATGTGATATATAAAGCTATAATTAGCACATATTTAAAAATTTATTGAAAAATATAATTAACATATTATGACATTGGCCTTAACATTGGCTATAGAAAGAGCATTTACTAATGTTATTCATAAGGAAGGAAATCTCGTGTTAATTATATGACATTTTATAAAACTATGTAATAGACTTAACATTACGCATATTATGGGATTTAACACAGGATTATGGGATTTAACACAGGATTACAGCTATACTTTAACATGGCAAAGCTCTCGTAGGTTTAACATAGTTACGCTTTAACATGAGTTTCTATGGAATTACGGCTTAAGTCTATGACATAAAATTAACATGGTTAATATTTAGTCATTTATGATAGTACATCAGCATGTGTATAGAGGAATTGTATCATATAATTGGAATCAGAAACAATATCACATTTAATTTCTGTACCAGAATTGTTAGTACTTTAGTTCTTTGATAATTGTAAAAATATCATATTGTAATTATAATTAACCATAGTTGATTTTTGCAATTTTAACTTAACGCAATTATTACTTTATAACAAATAGTCCACTTAATTAATATTAAAATATATGATAATTTACATTTAAAATATAGTTTTATTAAAACACAATCCGCTTACAAATAATTTTGTTAAAAATTATTAATACATTAAAACATATTTTGAATAAAACATTTCATTTTAAGGAAAACAAACAAATTAAATGAAAAAACACCACAATGAATTATTTAACCCCGGTAGGAAAGCTACTATCGGTGGCGATACCGCACTGGTTATCCTGATTCCTGGACATGAATATGTAGCCCTTTTGACCCCACGTGGTGTCCCATGAATTTTTCACCAACCAATATGGTTTGCCCTCAAACACACCATAGCCCACAGCAGTCACACCATGATCTAGGTCCTCCTGTTTATTGCCGCACGACTTGTCATTATAAACACCTGAGCTATACATCTGGAAAGTAAAGCTGGAGGCGTCGATGGCCACCGATATGGGCCCCACTGTGGCCACAGCCGACTGTAGGGCCGACTCCGNACACACCATAACCCACAGCGGTCACCCCATGATCTAGGTCCTCTTGTTTATTGCCGCACGACTTGTCATTATAAACACCTGAGCTATACATCTGGAAAGTAAAGCTGGAGGCGTCGATGGCCACCGATATGGGCCCCACTGTGGCCACAGCCGACTGTAGGGCCGACTCCGAGCCCGACTGTATGTCTTTAAAGCCGGTGACTGTGGCGCCGACCGACCGGGGCTTAAACAGACACTTCTCGTCGATGGCCCGGTAGGGATACGACTGTTCGGTGTCGATGCCCTTGTTTTTGATCACGTACTCAAACGCGTCGTCCATTAGACCCCCTTCGCACCCCTCGTTGCCCTCCGCTCGGGAACAGTCGACCAGGTTTTGCTCCGATAGAGACACTAGTTTACTGGTGCTGAGCGCGTGCTGGCCCTCGATGCTGGCCACGGCCGAGAATGCCCAACACGAGCCGCACTGGTAAGTTATAAACATGGTTAGTTATGAAAGTTCTATTCAACATAGTTGCAATTTATAAAAGTTTTTAACACTAGTTAAAAATCCCACTTAAGATAGTGTTTACCAAATGTTTATTTAATAATTTTTTGTAAAAACTAATAATACGAAAAGTTTTTGGTCACTCTATCTTAAGAAGGGTTTTTGACTAATGCTTAAAATTTTATAAAAATAATATATTTTGTAATTATTTTACCTGTTTTTGGTTCTTCACGGGTGTGACCACACCTTTGGTACGCCAGTCGACAGTGTCGGGTAGGGCTGCGAATCCGGTGCCCGTATAGACCGACACGTTGTGCGGCTGTTGCCGGTGCTTATAGCCCAACAGCGACCGCCTATACTCGGTGTTAGTCCAGTCGGCGAACTGATTGACGGCCAATCGGTAGGTGTGTTGGCCGGCGTCGGCCTCGAGGTTGTGGGCGATTATGCGTTCGTAGTTCTCCGTGAAAATGGCCCGACGGGCCGACTCTTCGCCGGCGCCTTCATATAGGCGCTGGTATTGGGCCTAAAGTACACGTTTATAGTGTTAATTTGATAGATTGATTTTTATCATGGTATTTTTGGCAATAATAACTTACCTTAAACTCGTCAAATTGGTTGCCGTAGTGGTGGTCACGAGCTGTGGCCACACACACCAGCGCTAGGATTATTGCTATCTTCATGGTTTTTGCCGCAAATTGTATGGTTATTATGAAAACAAGTTTTAAACAATGTTTGTTATAATTATTTCAATAGTTCTGTTCAGTAGTAATACTTGGATGTGATATAAAATTTTGTTGAGTTTGTGTTTTGGTTTATATACTTTTTTTGTAAATACAGTTTTATATATCCAGACCTTAATTGATATGTCATTTAATCTTAGTTTATTTTTTTAACACATCTTATGATCAAAAGTATAAACAAAGAGACAAAGAAACTAACTTTTGGACACATTTAGTGATAATTTTAGTGATTTTTATCCTGAGTCTACAGTCAACTCCCGTTATAACATGACTTACTATCAAAATGATTTTATTAAATAATTAACGATATAACTTATCTATATAATTTGGTTATAATATTAAAATTTTTTTATAAATTAATTTAATAATTAATTTCAAGTTTCTTTTTTATTCAAATGTACTATTATTTCCAACGCGATATTACCTGTATATAAAATTTAAAATAGCAAACAATACCTTAATATATTAATTATATAATCTATAACCCCATAGTTAGCAAGTTTACTTTATGGATAGGTCATTGTTATTATGTGACAGTATACAAAGATAAACAATATCGGTGAATAGGCATGTGCGAAATAGTATTTATTTAGATAATTAATTCACTTTAGCTAGTAAGGTATGACAATTTGTACCACGGTATTAATAAATGACATTGATAATATAATTATCAATAGAAATGTAAGTGTGTTTGCATTACAACACAAAGCAATTTATTGATAAACAATGCAATGATATTTGTTTAATAAATTGATTAGCAATTTATATCAAAGTAATTGTAAGTTTTATAAAAGTCAATGTTTGACAACAGGTATATCAGGTGTATAACAGGTGTCATAAAACTATTATTTTGCTTACATTAATTGCATAAATAAATATTTAATTAGTAATTTATTTAATTAATTAGTAATTAAAACTATTAATTGTTTGTCTGTTTAAATTTTATTCATAATTATATTTTTAGTTATTTGAAAAAATCATTAAGCTTAAATTTCACCTGTCTGTTATGTTACTTTTTAAAATATACTGTACATTTGTATATTATTTTTATGTACAAACTTATGCCAAAATAATAAATAATTTAATGAGGTTACATTAAAATATTTAAATAGATTTACACACAAAGTGCACACGTTGTCACAAAATACAAAATATTATTTTATGACTTTTATATAAGGGCCAAAATGCCTTAAAATTTTATATAAATTTAAAATTTATTTCAAAATTTTTGAATTAAAATTTTGAATTAAAATTTAAAATTTTGATTAAAATTTAAAATTTTGAAATGTAATATTAGTCATGTAGTGATAAGGGGTATTCTGCCCTATCTATACATTCAATCTCTAAATAATGATTATATACAATAACAGTAATAAGAAAAATACAAATTTCTATTTGAATAATCAATATTTTTAATTAATATTGTTTTTCCCGGTTTTACGGAATTTTAAAATATATTTAAATTTTAAATAAAGTTTTAAAAACTTAATTTTAAAACTTAATTTTAAATTTTAAAACTAATTTTAAATTTTAAAACTTTACATTATAATCAGTAATAATTCAAAAGACATTTATAATTATGCTAAACAAATTATTATTTTAACATGATTGAAACCTTCGTGTCATCACATGATAATTATGTTGAGATTAAGCTAAAATGGATTATGGATTAAAAATATCAGTAAATAATTAATACAGTATTTGCTGTGTTTATATCTCAGAGAAATGAAAATAACAAATGGATTAAAGGATTTAATTATTAAAAACATATTTAAAATGATATTTAAATCACAGATTCATTGCATTCCGAGTCACAAGTGTTTCAAACAAATTGATAGTCATTTCAAATCACACAAAGTTTTTCGTATGAAAACAAATCATTTATAAGTTTATTAAAAATATCTAAAATGTATGCAAAAGACTCTTTGGATCGTTTCGGCGATGATTTGTGTGAACTTCTATTGTCTTATCTCTCACTCGAAGACCGATTCCGTTACGAATGTCTGTCCAAACAGTTCCAGAGGACAGTCTTCAGCTCTATTACCATCATTAAAATGGACGAAAATTTTATCAAAACCCTATTTTATACCAAACGTTTCAGTTTAAAGTTTTTGAAAACAATTGCAAACAAATGTCCAAACATTCAGACCATTGACTCTCAATCCGTTAGTTTCAATAAGCCTTACGTTAAGGCCGTCATTTATTGTGCAATGAGTTTCAATGATGATAGATATGTACACAATTTGGCCCCGATGATCACCAGGGTTACTTACAGGCACCCCATTAATAAACAGCAATTATCTCATTTTCGCCGATTATCTCATTTGGATGTCGTCTCAATGGCCGACATATTTATCGGCGAAACAATAGTTTTGGCCAAAAATCTGGCAAAATTTAAATGTGGCGTTAGATATGGTTTGACGAGACAAATGATGGCTACGTTTGTGGCAAATAATAAGACATTGAAGAGTCTTTGTCTGATATCCATCTCGAGTGCGACACAAGAGATTGTCATTGAATTTGTTCATCAATTGCCACAATTGCGCAAATTAAGTCTCGATTGTCAATACGATCGCAATCTAACCGATGGTTTGCGACAAATCGGCCAAAACTGCCGACAATTGGCAACGTTTTCACTCATGTTTCAATCAAAGTCTAATAAATTAAATGCAAAAACATTGCATTCAATGCAACACTTCCCGGCACTCAAGAAGTTGTCGCTTTGGATGAGTTTAGTTGATTACAGCGACGATCACGACATCGATTGGCAACTGATGGCGGCGTTGAGACACTGCCGACGGTTAACGCATTTATCGCTTACTATTTGGCGACTGAATAGCGACTGTTTGGCGGACATCGGCCCACATCTGCCACGCCTTCGACATATGACTCTTTGCGAAAGTGTCGGATGGATTGGTAGCCAGTGTTTGGATCACATCTCAAGACTACCGGCCCTCCAGAGGGTTGACATTCATAGTATTAAACCTCTACTATTAAACGCACATCATTTCAATCAATTGTTGGCTACAAGCGCTACACTGGAGACCATTAATGTTTTTGATCGTGATCCTTTTATGAGCTATAATCGTCATTTATTATAATGTAACTTATTTTATCATTATAATTTATTAAACATTTAATTACAAAATTATACTATAACAATAATAATTGATTAAAAAATGAAGATGTTCGTTTTATTTTGAATTTATTTATATTTATTTTTCTAATGATTTATTATTTATTTAATTGTGACACTTTTTGTAGACATTTCTTATCGGTAATAGTATTTTAATCATAACGGACTGAAATTTTAATTAAATTACAATTATTTAAATGAATTGAAGGTGAATTTAATAATTATAATGTTTTATTGTTTTAAAAATTACTTAAAATGAGAATTAAAATTATTTAAAATTGGATTTTACACAAATCGTTATCAAATTATAGCATTAATTGTCATACAAATAGTTTATCTGAGAAAATAATAGTCTTAAATGACTTGTAAATCAAAATTGCAATCAAAAGTAGTTTCAAAAATATATGAGTCCTCAAAAAGTCCTCAAAAAACTAAACTTTAACTAAAATATCATTTTTGCGAAATAGTTTCAAGTCATTGACATTATCTATGAATGTAATTTTCTTCAGTCGTGGACTTTTGGCCAGCATTTCATTCATATAATTAGCATAAACAGACTGCCAGAGTGGGCCGCGTATTGTGAGCGCCCGGAGAGCCGTTAGCTTTGAGATGTGATGCAAACACTGGACATCAATCCATCCGTTGGTGCCGTCGATCACCAGATGTCGAAGTCGTGGCAAAGGTTTATCGATATCAGCCGTTGAGTTAGCATTTAGTTTCTTAATAAAGACTGTTAGATGTGTTAAATATTGATATTCATCTAACGATTTTATTAATAGCCAATCAACGTCTTCGTCGCCACTAAAATCAAATGCTGTGATCTTCAGGAATAACCTCTTGAGTCCGCGGAAGTGTTTCATTGAATTCAATGCCTTAGTCTTCCAGACATTGTTTTCTGTTTTGACGGTCAGTTTAAACGATAACAGATTTGTGCAGTTTTGGCCGATTTTACGCAAATCGACGTTAAGATTACGATGAGGTATGAGATTAATCGTTAAGTGCCGTAATTCTGGCAATTGATCCACAGATTTAATGACAATCAGTTGTGTCTCTAATGACTCGCAATTAAGGCAAAGGCTTTTAAGTTGCAGAATATTGGCCATAAATGTGGACATCATATCTCGCGTCAAAAGTGAACTCAATTCACATTCAATTTTAATGGATGTAATCTTCGGCCCAAACAGTCGGACATACCTATCGTCTAGGCAATTGGTGTGGATTTCCCGCAAATGATGGCAATTGTCGCGAATTGTTTGCAACAATTTGTCGTAATTTCTTTGGTTTAAGTTGACATCAAAACTGTGGAAGAATATCACCTGAATGTTTGGACACTTCTGTAACAGTTTAAGCAAATGTGAGATAATTCTTGGATTTTCCAGCACTCGATGATCGTGTGGGAAGCGTTTGGCCACCAATTTGTTCGGGAAATTGAGATGTGTTTGGCTTAAGTATATCTTCCTCTGGAACTGTTTGGACAGACATTCGCAACGGAATCGGTCTTCGAGTGAGAGATAAGACAACAACACTTCGCACAAATCGTCACCAAATCTATCGAAAGAGTATTTGCTATACATTTGAGGCATTAATAAAATAATATTGATTACAATAAAAATAAATTTTTATACAATTATTTAAAATATTTAAATCAAGTGAAACTGTATTATAATGTATTGTATTAAAATGAAAGTGTACTAACATTAATGCATGCGTTTACCAGCCCTTATATACTATCAATAACTCTAAAGTTTAAACAAAATTTACAAATATTATTACAAAAACT